AGCTGCTGCTGCCACCAGGAGTCCGTCCCCACGTGTCCCAGCTGCCGGAGAGGAGCCCCGCTGACCCTCTGCTGCCCCTGGGGCCAGGTATCCTTCTCACTGAGCCCCAGCACCTACCCCCTCCAGGGGATTCTCCCGCGGCTCCCCCACCGCCCATGCCGCCGGGGGGTTGCCCCCCCTCCCCAAAGCGGCCGCCCATGCCACCGGGGGACCCGTGCCCCACGCCCTGGCCGCCCCCCCTGGCGCAGCCTGGGGACCCCCGCCACGCGCCTCAGCCGCTGCTGCTCCGGCCGCCGGGGGATCCCTGCCCCGAGCCCCAGCCCCTGCCGCGTGTCCACCTTGGGGAGCCGGGCCGCGTGCTCCAGCTGCCCTTACCCCAGCCACCGGTGGGGGACTCCTGCCCCACGCCCTGGCCACCTCTGCTTGGGCAGCCCGGGGAGCCCCACCGCGTGTCCCGACCGCCGCTGCCCGAACCGCCGTCAGGGGTTCCCTGCCCCGTGCCCCGACTGCCGCTGCCTCCACAGCCCGGGGAGCCCCGCGGCGTGCCGCAGCCGCCGCGACCCGAGCCACCCGGGGACTCCTGCCCCGTGCCCCGACTGCCGCTGCCTCCACAGCCCGGGGAGCCTTGGAGCTTGGAGCTCCTTGATCCAGGCGGCCTGCCAAGGCGTGGCTGGCCTAGACTTTGGCCGCTGGTCCTCGGGCTCCTCAGTCGGCGTGGGTCGTGGGTTTGCCGTGTGGTCAAGGGGTTGTCTCGCTGGTGGGTCGGGGGACTCCTCGGTTGGGTCCCGGGGCGTAGTCGCTGGTGGGGTAGGATCGTCACTGGTTGTTGGCGGAATCTGGACCGGGTCAAGGGGGGCGGGGGTGACGCCAGGTCTTCCGTGTGCGTCTGCTGTCTGGGGGGTTGTCACGGGAACGTGTGACCTTCTGGCAGCAGGGACCGGCCTGGTGAAAGTAGGTCCTGGTGACATAGAAAGCAATGGGAGCGCGAGGGGAGCGCGCTGTTCCAAGGAAAGGTATCGCTTCTCGGCTCTATGAGCTAAGATCAAGTATCTGTTCTTATCAGTCTAATCCTTATTAATTGAACATGATAAGATACTGCCTAGATCTATATCAGTTTAATCTGAATCTCTACTGATACACTGTATCAGCTATCTTAAAGAGCTCATGGTGCCCTGGGATGCATCCTGCAACCCCTAACACGCAACCTAAAGCTCTGACCACTGTCCCAGCACAGCCTGTTGCTCGACACAGACTCCCGGCTGTTACACCTGGTCCTCCCCGGGACCAACGGATAGTGTCTGAGACCATCAGGCGTCTCATACTACACTTGATCTTAGCCAAAAGGCCGAGAAGCTGAGAAACACTGACCCAAAGCCCACATTTACATAACATGTGAGAACCAGTCTCTTCAAAATTTTATAAAACAACAGTAAAGTAGAAATGAAAACAGCTGCTCAAGTAGGTAAACCCCCCATCAGAAAAAAAAAAAAACATACAAAAAACACAGCCGAACGGTCTGAGCACCGATAGAGCCCAAAAGATTTTTTTTTTTCTATTTTTTGAACAAGCATGTTCTCCCCGGAGGGAGGCGCACCACACCTGGAAGTACTGCAAT